AGCTATACAAAAACAAAACACGGAATACATTGTTTGTGAAAATCCACAGGATTTAACATTCCGACCAATTGTTGGAGGACCCGCAGCACCTACCCAACGTCTCAGCAATCTACTAGATATAGTGTTGAAACCTCTCTGCCAACACGTTAAAAGTTTTGTCCGAGACGATTTAGATTTTTTACGACATCTACCTAACCAAGTCGATTATGACGCAAAACTCGTTACTTTAGATGTAGTGAATTTATACACCAATATAACCAGTACCCTGGGAATCAAGGCTTTAAATTTCTGGATTGAAAATTACAGAAATGAAATTGACAACCGATTTACAAAGGAGTTTTTATTAGAAGCTACAGAATTAGTTTTAAAGAACAATGTGTTTACTTTCAATGAAAAATACTTTCATCAAGTGAAAGGCACAGCTATGGGTACCAAAATGGCCCCTACATATGCAACTCTCACCATTGGATATCTAGAAGAAACACTTCATGAAAAAGCCAGTGAACAATTTGATGAAGAATTTGGCGAATATCTTAAGAAAAAACTGGAAAAGATATCTAGATGATTGTTTTATTATATGGAAAAAAGATGATTCAGATTTGAGCATTTTAAATGATATATTGAATGAATTAGACCCAGATATTAAATTTACAATGGAAAAAAGTTCCACTCAACTACCATTTTTAGATGTGTTAATCTGTAAGGAAAACAACAAAATTTCTACAGATATATTTTATAAAAATACTGACACTCATCAGTATTTGATTTTGGTTCTTCCCACCCACGACACATTAAAAGAGCAATCCCATACAACCTAGCCCGAAGAATATGCACATTAGTCAGTGAGGAAGAAATCAGAAATCAACGTCTGGGGGAATTGAAAATATATCTCACATACCAACATTATCCTTTAAACTTAATTAACGACGGCATCAAGAAAGCAAAGGAACTAGACAGGCAAGAATTAATTAACCCAACTGCTAAGGATGGAGAGGAAATTAAAATATTACCACTAGTCACAACTTACAACCCTAACAACCAAAACATTACTCCTATCGATCAAAATCTCAATGATATCCCCAAAACATATGAAGAAATGTCAAGTGTTTTATCAAAATTTAAATTTATAAACAGCAAAAGGCAGCCAAAAAACCTCAGAAGAATGCTCTGTCCTTCCAAAATAAGGAAATCTACAAAACCCGTGACGAAGTGTAAAAACCCGCGATGTGGCACATGTCCTTTTTTAAGACAAGGAACGTCATTTAATTTCAAAGGAAAAGATTTTTTATTAATTCGGACATGACATGTGAGTCCAAAAATTTAATATATGTTTTTACTTGTGGAGGATGTAACCAATTCTACATCGGTGAAACGGGGACCACATTGAGAGCCAGAATCCGGGTGCATAAACAACACATTCAAGTCCCCGAGTACCGCAAGATGAAACTCAGCGAACATTTAGATATATGCGGACACTGACAATTTAAAGTATTTCCTTTTTATAAACTTTTTAGAGACAATATAATTGAAAGAAGAGAAAAAGAAAAACATTTCATTCAAAAATTTAAACCCAGTCTTAACAGTTTGATTTAATTTGATTTCTGACAAAACTTTCACACAGAGTATAACCTTCCCATGTTCTCAATTAGTAATATAAACACATGTTGGATTTGGTTTCAGAAGTGTGAAACTACTGCAAGCATTTTATAGCTAGCTGTCAGATTCAATTATAGATAATGATTTTTAAAGTATTAATAGTTTTGTTAGACATTACAGTCAAGAAAACGTTATTATGTATTTGTAAAACGTCTGAAGATAATAATGAAAGCGCTAACGTTTTAACCTGTGTTGCTTTTCTTTTTTTAATTTTATCTATATCAAAACCGGACACTGTGAATGTTTCAAATTTGGATATATATATATATATATATATATATATATATATATATATATATATATATATATTAATCTACTTTTGTTAAAAGTGACATATAGGTCCGATGGGCCGGGTGTTTGAATATTTAATTGTATTAAATGTTTTTCATTGTACTTATAACACATGTCACTATAATAAATGATTTACTTACTTACTTACTTACTATACAAAAGTAAGTTTTTTAAAGACAAAATCTGTATGTTTCAAATGACCATAAATCACATCTGCAATCAGGGAATATCACTTGAAAAATGTTCATTTTATTCGGTGACATTGTTTATTTGGATACATTTGAAGCTGTCCCTTTTCACAGACATTATGATTTATTTAATAAAATATCGCAGACTACTATATTCTTCGTGTTATACGTCGTTCACACAGATATTTCTGTGTTTCATAATTAAATTTCGTTTCCAATAAAATTATATCGTTTGTAAGAATGTTTTGTAAAAGTTACAATAAAAATATGTTAGCATGACTGGAGCATATCAGACTTCCATTGAAGACATTATACATTTAGCAAATATTTGACGGTGTCTTATTAATTTCTATGCAGTAAAAAGAATAAGGAAAAACTCTTAATTTTCCACAGTTTAATATATAAAAAACATTAAAAGTAATGTGAAAACATTAAATAAAGTGCCCCGCCACAGCATGATACGCCCGTCAAATATTGTTCAATTATCACAAACAGGTTAGAGTGGAAGAAAATCAAGTCAACCTTGATACAAAGATTTCCAAGATTTTTCCATTCCTTACAATATTTGTTTATACATTTTCTGTGGTGTAGGCATGAATTGTAACAAAAATTACATTATAGATGCTCAACTGGTTGTGTTAGAGCTTGACAAATGCCCATCTGCAGCCCCCCCCCCCCCCCAACACCCAAAGTGACACACACACACATCTTTCATATTTGTGAGACATGATGCTCTGAAATTTGTTAGTTGATATTTTCAAAAAATTAAATAAAAATATCATATTAAACAATATCAATTTAGTCTTAACAACTTAATCTACACCAAATTAATTTTAAAAAATAAGACTGGCCATCAAATGGCATATGCTATAAACTGACCAGCAGTTCTTCTGTTTAATTCCCAAAGGATACAGATAACAACTGCTTGATCAGAGATGCTCTAATAGAAATGATTGAGAGAGCTAGTCTTCCTACACTGAACTCATTAATTAATCTTTAACTGGATGCATGTCCACTAATTACTCCCAAGGGATGAATGGATCTGCGCTATCTGCTTTATAGTGCAATTAAAATGCATATTTATGTCATTCTGGAATTAAATTTGAAAACAATTTTTTTTTTTCAATTTGTAACAAAGATTTATAAAAAGAAATAAAAATTGTAATCTTGATGCAACATTTTTAATAAGGTTTCTGCTTGACTCTTAGATTTGTAGGAACTATCTACCATAATTAAAACTTTGTTTTTGAAATACTTGATGTTTTTTTAGATTCAATGTCAGACTGGTTTTAAGCTGCAATTCATCAACGGGCATGCTAATTCCAATATCACCCCCCCCCCCCGGTATAATTAGTTTTAATTTATTAGTTTATTATACGATATCAAATTAGTTTATTACACAATATCAAATTAGTTTTAATTACTTTTCATCAAATGCATTTTAAAAGTTAGGCTAGCCCACAAAAACTATTTAATCCAACATGGCTGATTCCTCTGCCCACTTCCCCAGGGAAATAGATAACACCTGCTTGATCAGAGATTCTCTACCAGTTAGCTCCTCACACTAAACTCACAAATTTCTCTCTAATTTGACATGCAATTTTCTGTTATCAAAATTCTCCTTGACCAGTGCTTGATAATTACACCCATGGGAGAGGTGGAATTTCTCTTGTAACATTATATTTGTTATAGATTGCTGTAAAGTATATATGAAAAAAAAAGTATTTTCTTGATTTTAACACTTTTTAATAAGGATACTGCAACACTTTTACATTTTATGGGATTGTGTAATTTAATAGCAAAAAGACAGTTTTTTTTAACTTTCACTTAAATTAAAGGTCACAGTGACCTTGAAATAGGTCGCGACAACCTTCTACCTAAGATGCATAAACTGGCCAAGTTTTCTAGTTATGAGCCGGACAGGATTTTTCCATATTTGGCCATAGCATCTTAATTAAAGGTCAGAACGACCTACTTTTAGTGCGCGACACACCTTCTACCCAAGAAGTATCAGCTGACAAAGTTTGATAATCCTAGGCCTAATAGTATTAAAGTTATAAGCCGGACACGAGAAGAGCTATCAGACAGACAGACGGACGGACATAAACGCCATAACATAATACGTCCCGTCTAAAGACGGGCGTATAATAATAATTATTACACTTATTATACGTGGCTGTTTGCATACAGATATTTTGGAATATTGTAATTTTGATGTATTATACCACTTATTGTGTTTGCAATTGGTTATAGTTACCAAACTTCTAAGATACATGTTTGTAAGTTTAGACATTTTGCTAATGCATGTAATTTTTACTTGGTCTCAACCGGTGTTTGCTTGTCAAATTTTGGTTTTTGTATATACTAGCTTGAAATCTATCAAGCCTTAATAAACAACAATTTCAACACATTAATGTGTTAAGTTATAGTTTTCTAGGTTACTGTTCATTTAATTTTTGCTGGAAAGAGGAAGCATAAATAATAATTATTACACTTATTATACATGGAGTTATAGATCCATAGATTACTATGAAAAATAAAATACTCCAGAAAAGATAAAAAGTTTTTAAAAAGTATACGACGAAAAGCACATAACTCAAGTAAATTTTCAGATGTTATCACATAATTAATTAAACACAATGGTACTTTTAAAAAAAAAAAAAACCATTCTACGTGTATTGCACAAACTTGAATCGATTAGAAAAGATAAAATAATAAAAAGATGGACGGATCACATGATTAAAATCGTGTATAAACAATAGTTCATAGCAAGGGGATATGATAGGAGAATTACTAGAAAATACTAAAATTGCACATTTGTATATTGTAAACAATGTGTAATATATATGACAAGCTTATGTTTCCTGTAAAACCTCAGCCCAGTGCACGATTATCAAAACAATTTTTAAAGTAATATTAACTTTAAACGTAATGAGGGAAGCATAGGTATAGTTTTTATTTCAAAAGAATGTCTTATAGTCTGATACGATCAGAATTAAACCCAGCTAATGTTATAAAGTTCATTTTCTTTTTCCTATGTATGAACATCGCTTTGCTCCGATTCCACTTGAACAATGGATACACAACTTTCCCGGACACCCCATAAAATCTGCTATTCTACCATTCTCGTCTTTCCTGATTGCCATATCACAAAGGCGACATTTCCCTAACAATTTACTTTGACCTTGAGAATGTCGTAAGCAGAGATATGCCTCCGAAACTCTGTGTCCAAAAACGTAAGTGCCACAAATGACGCATGCGTCTTTATTCAGAGGATAGTGCGTTGCTTTAAATCCCCGGTATGCGTTGGAACATCCTCGACACAGAACTACTGGCATCGTGACCTTTAACACCGGATCTGCTATTTGCATACAGCGTGCCGACTAAAAGTCAAAAAATAAGATTATGGTTTTTGGATATAAGATCCTTGGTTTTTGTAACATATATTTTTTTTTGTAACAAGTAATTGAAATAGGAACAAAAGGTCAAAATTTTACATCGATCACATCAGACATATTTCTCTAATAAACTGAAATATATTTAGGATAAGATAAAAGAAGTCGATCCCTTTTTGTGCTCTAGAACTATTCCAGTGGTGTGTATTGAATTGGTTTCTTTTACTATCAAACAACGATTCCTATAAAAGTTTCCAAGGTAAAACTTTTCAATCAAAATGAGAGCGTGGGAGTGTCTAAATGTATTTCTGTGTACAATTCCATGTTTGGAAAATGTAAACTTTTTTTATAAAGCTCTCTAGTTGTTAATTATCATCTTGGATGATATCACCCCCTTCAGACAAACAACGAGGGCATCGGAAAAATTAGTCAGAAAAACTCACTTAAGTTGCTAGCTTAGGTACATGTACGCTACGAAAGCTTAATGGAATCAAATGAAACACAATTTAATTATATAATAAGGAATAAGGTTCTTTTTAAAACTTGTAAGGCATTTTTTTCAGTAAAAACTTTAAAATAACAATAAACAATATCTTACCTGTAAATACATGCTTCTCATGTAATCACCTAACATCGCTGCACTCTCTGAATGATGCATGAAATCAACCAATCTATCAATGATAGGTTTTCTCTTAATATTCTTGTTCTTTTTTCATATACAGGTATTGTTAAAATGAGTCACACAATAAATTACTAAGATATACAATAAACAACACATACTTATCATATAACTCTGCACGTTGACAATGAAATGGCACCTTCAATCTTTTAACGATATTATTTGCACACCAGAACATGAGATAGTCGACTACGACAGTGTGGTACATGATCTGTGCCTTTTTATCGCTCAGATACAGCTTTTCTATGTTCTAAAAAAGAAGTATTTTTTAAAGTCCACGATACATCTTCAATCCTGCTTGACTCCTTTCAAGAACATTTGTCATTGTATCATCTTACTTCATAAAATGTCCCATGAATGAATCTCATATTCCTATCCACACCTGCCATGTATGTGAAAGGCTTTAGAACTCTGCGTATTTTAGACCAATACAACGCAGGAATTGGCTCTTGTATATCCATGTCCCCTAAAATGTTCTGCATATCGATCTCAGGCAAACCCTGTGTTATGGCCAAAATACACAATGCCTGAAAAATGAAAAATGAAAATGTACTATATCTCATGAACCACAGAATTCAATAAAACCCTCACAATTCAGGTATCGTTTAAACAGATTTTACATAAACATAAATAATTGTTTTTAAATACTAAGATACAACCTTTTTTCTCAAATAAAGAAACCCAGATATTGTTAACACTGCATAAAACATTCACATATAATTGTGGGGAAATACTGAAAGAGACAAACCGAACAAGCTGAACCAACGTATATGTATCTTCTGCAAAGGTTACCAAACAAACCTTTTAAATCCTAAGCATATAAAGATTTCAAAAATTAGAAAATCATTTTTAATCGATTCAAAGGGGGACAAAGTACATGACCTTTTCCATTTTCCCACTGTCGTCATATGCGACTACATCTCTGAGTATGCCTTCTAGCAGCCCATCCACAGAGTCAGATAGCGACTGTATGTGCTGATCCAGTGTTCGGAAATCTCCAAATGTTCTTAATTGCTCTGCTAGAAGAGTCAACCACAGTGGATTTAATGAGCTAGGTTTAGACAATATTATGTCCATTTGGTCATTGTCCAGTTTCTGTGGGGTAAATGAAGAGCACACATTTGTTTTTATGACGTGTTATTATTTGGTATACTATGAAACGTTGTCAATAACATTATCCAAAACAAAAAGCTTCGTTTTCAACACGCAAAGAATATTTTACCTACCGAGTTTTACTTTTACCCAAACTCTGTCTATAGATGATACAAAATTTCTCTTTTTCAATTAAGTATTTAAATACGTAGTTGAAAGATGGCATAAATCCAACCTTACCTTATTAAACATGATAAGGTACTGCGCGATGACTTCTTTGGCTTCTGACTTTTTTAACTGAGGAATATTTATGAGAAAACAAGTGTGTTCCTTCAGTCGGTGGAGTGTGGGTAAGTGATCGCTTGATGTTGAAACAATGGCTCGAACATTGCCGGGAAAACGAGGAGGCAACCAGTTTAAATGTTTGTATTGGTCTCGATCTGCTAACTATATAAATGTAAAAGAAAACAAAACAAAATTAGAGTTCCATTTCTTCTTTTTAAATATATTAATACGAGATACTTAATACCAGATTTCCTGAGTGAAAACAATTATAAGTTATGTGAAGAGGAAAAATAAAACACTCTAGGAAAATTTAGACTACATAACTTTTTGACAAAGACACTTGCACTCACTTACTTCGTTCATACCGTCCAAAACAATCAATATTTGGTTTTCTATTTGACGCAGTTTTGTGAACTCTTCCCTAATCACTTTCATGAAGAACTCTGTAACATCGTTGGTGTCTTCTGGAATATCTGAAATGAAATGAAAACATGGCGTTAATTATCAATTTTTAGTGTGCAAAAACTTTTTTGGGCGGGGGGGGGGGGGGGGGGGGGGTTCGAAAAGCCGTAATTGTTAGTTCTTTTCAACTGTTAGTTCACATCAATGAAAAAAAAGATCAATGACATCTTTGTTAGTGAATCCGTTAAATGCAACCTTAGAGAAAATCAGCTAAGCTCATTCTTTACCTATTTGTTCTCCTGTGATGAATTCTGCCAATCGCTTCAGTAAAATATTTCTCTGAACACTATTTTCAGAGATACCAGCAAAATGGTAAAATACGTTCAATCCCACCTAAAAGTTTAGGAGAAGAAAACAATGTTACCCTTTTGCTGCAAATTTGAAGTGTAAACATTTATTATTTACATCCACTGAATATTATCTATTATTTTTTAAGAAAACCACGGTCGTTTATCAATACGAAAACGCCGCAAAGCAAGCCACTTGTATAGATTTCTTCAGCAGCGCCAATCCATTAATGAAACATACAATGACGCATATATCAATAATACCGCTGCATTTAATTTCCGGAATTTTGCATAGCATTTCCGACATTTTTTTAAATTTCATTTCCGACAATTTTTTTTTCATTTCCGGAATTTTTGCAGGGTACCTCTCCGGCAAATTAGTGTTAACCAGGTAGGCGGAAATTGAATTAAAAAGAATTTACATGTATTTCAAACCATATTTTCAAAATATGCCTTATAATTTCCATCCTAATATATCTGATTTCAAACTTAAACTGAACTTTTGAAAAGGAGATGAGCGAAAGTTCACAACACTTACAAGTGCCTTCGGGAAAGAAAAAATAAACGTTATTATTTTCGCTTCATTGATAGCTAAGCAAATCTCATTATTTGGATTTCAATGATTTATTCATGATTTATTCTTTAAATGTTTAAATTTTAAATTTTTGAAAATGCCGGAAATGAAAACTATAAAATGTCGGAAATGAAAAATTGAAATACGTGTTCAATATTTAAGGTACCCAATACCTATTTCATTTGATTACTTATATAGATAAAAACAATAAAATATCCTTTTTTGTTAGTATGGGAATTCACCTTGCAGCTATTAAAATAAAAATAAAATTAAAAATTAAAAAAAAAATTATCTACTTTATACATTACTAGCCAATAAAGAGGGCAATTTATTGTTTAAACAACGATAACACTAAATTTCTATTCACGGGAACTCTCCTTGTTGAGAAGAATCGAAAAATAATCCTGCATGTTTCGTGGTAATATTTAACCATCTATGTTCATAATACGTTTCAACAATAGTATCCCTACTTCGTTTCATAAATATATTTTATACACAGAAGTAAGTTATTTATATGATTCTGAACATTAAAAATTTATTGTAATATTTTATTTAAAGAAATTTACATATTATAGGCAGAACGTGAATGAGAAGCAGAAACCAGAATTTGCATGACTTTGAAAAAGATTTCATGAAGTACATGTGTAATTATACACTACTCTTGATTGTTTTGATATAAAGCCTGTTTTGTGTTAAAATTTATTTGGTATTCTTTGTTTTTAATCATTTTATAATCTTAACGAAACATGTAAGAGACAAAAACATATTTAACTTCACATATGCAGTAATTTTTCATTTGTTTGAACGAATTTAGCATTTGGTGCAAACTTTATTTAGCATTCTTTCTTCCTTCTTCTTGAGAGAGAGAGAGAGAGAGAGAGAGAGAGAGAGAGAGAGAGCTTCTGACTCTTTTAAACACTGAAGATGCTTTGTCTGACTATTTACCAATATACTGTAGGATTATTACGTTCATTCAACTTTTTGACAAATGTTTTTAAACCAATCAAATAATAATGTACGATAATCTTAATAGAAATTAACAAAGATTATTTTCGCAATTTTAAGCAACCAACCAGATTTTATACCTATCGCTGGAGTTTTTACATACACGAGGACACATTTAATTACATATCAGAAGTAACCAAGTATGACTGTAAGTAAACAATAATACTGAGGCCTACGATAAATGTTTAACAAAGTCCTTGCTGTAGATAAATTGAATGTGAAAGATACTGGCAAAAAATCTGTGATGTACTATGAAAAATAAAAACATACGTATATTTTTACACACTGTATGAAGATCTGTAATAGAACATTTTGTCGTTATTCTATGGATTTACATTATTTGTCTGTCGATAGATAGATATGCATTTTTTTCATTGCTGACCCCCCCCCCCCCTTTCTTTTTTTTTCTTTATTAAAAATAACTTTCACAGTTACCTAGGTAAATTTTGTACTGTTGTAAGAAGAACAATATTAAGAAAATCATTTTGTACATGTGTATATGTTTATATATTTATAAATATCAAGTTTGCTTTGTACACTTGTGAAAGCTAATAAAAAAAAGTAACCTGAAGTATGACTGTAAGTAAACAAATAAATATACTGAGGCCTACAATAAATGTTTATTATCATGTGTATTTATTCTTATGTAAAATTCTCACACTTTTTTATAGGTCAATGCCCTATGCATTGATTGTAATTAATTTATCGTCTATATAAATAATACTGTCACAAACTTCCTGACATCGCAAACTAGATGCGATTGTGATTTTTGATCGGGATCGAGTTTCGTAAGGGAAATATTCGCGTGAGTACTCTGAGCAGTAAAGATTTTGTTCTTTTGGAGGGAAAACCTTTTTGTCAGTAACATGTCATTATTGTATTCTGAGGTATTTAAAGAGTTTTATAATTTGTTCATTCGAGTAGAGGTTAAAAAAAGGAATAAGTCAATATGAGGATACAGAACAGCAGAAGGGACCCAATATAGCCAACAGGGGCTAAGTTTGGCTAGAGTGAAAATAGGCCTTTTTATGGATTTTTTGTTATTTCTAAAAGTTTTCCATTCAATTTCTGATCAGTTTCACGTGTACAGTATATTTAATAATTTAGCTCACACAGAACAAAGACATGACCTTTTCTTATAGAAATTGCCCATTGCATAGGGACATTGTCGCCGAAAACTCCTCGCATTTTTGTGATCATCTACCCAAAAACTTCTTGGTTAATTTCAACCAAAACTGACACAGTTTGTGTATCCTTGTGTAAAGGAAATTTCAGTTTGGATGAGGTGAATGAAAATTTATTCAAATAAAGAAGTCGAAGTATGTAAATAAAGTTATTGAGAAACAGACAGATAGGCAGATGGACGGTGGACAACGGATGATCAGAAAAGCTTACGAGCTCAATGAGCTTAAAAACATTATGAACATTTTGCTTTACAAAACCAGCAATCTTTGTAAAATTGATGTTTCTTAATTTATGTGTTTACACATTCCCTGATCTGTTAACCATTCTCTATTTCAGAAAACTAATAACCTATTCTAAAAGATGGATAAGACATACAGAAATTCTTTCATCATATTATACGCTGCTGTAAAGTGGCTACTAGAAGTAGTGGATCTAGGGCTGGATTGGGACTTTTACATTGAAGTACAACACACAGATCAACAAAGTATCATCCGTGCAGTAAAGCTAAAGTGGGCAATTTTGGGATTTGCAATCTTTGGTACTGTCATGTTCTTTTCCACTTTAATTGCATTTTGCATAAAAATTTACAAAACTAGGAAACATAAAAATTTGAGCAAATCCTACCAAGATGTTAAGAAAGCTGTCTCCATCATGTCTCTCATATGTACCTGGTTTGAGGATTTCCCTCAAATAGTGCTAGCTGTTATTGTAGCAGTGAAATCAACTGAGCTGATCTCAATAATACAGCTGGTAAAAGCCTGGTATGCCTTAGCAGAAGCAACGTTGCAAGCTACCATAATATTCATAGAACTCAGACTGTGTTGCCTTAAGAAGCCAGACTATTGGAAACGAGTGTTGTTGATTTTGGAGCTTATTGGCATTACCCTGATATTTCTGGTCAGTATATTTTTGTTAATAGAGCTTTACCAAGACAACTTTAAAGAGATTTATCAACTGGAAAATGCTGCCATGAATTCAACTAGCAAAGTAAACTTCACAACTTGGAGCACTCCAATTAATTCAACCTGATGTCTTTGCAATGCATGGGCTAATCATTAACATGGAATGGTCAATTCTCAAATCAAACACTTCCCTGTGGATTCATCTGTAAATAATTTTTCATCATGTCATATACAAATTATATATACATGTATGTATTAAAACGCAGACTTTTTCAATACATCAAGTTTAATTATGTAGGGGTGGGGGTGGGGGGTTGTTTTTGTTTTGTTTATACTTTATTGTATATAGTAAGTTCAGAATTTTTAAAGTTAACACCCATTTCCAAAGACTATGGGTCACATCTGCATGCAGGTTAATATCATGTAAGAATTAAGTGATCATCACAGTTATATATAATGAGATTTCCTGTTTTTTGATGCATTTCATTATTCTTTGTGTCAAATACTACTAACACAGATAGTTAAATTTCCATTTTTTTCCCCCATCAAGTTTTGTGCGCAGTCATTTAAAAAGAAAACTGAAAGTTCTGATTATGGATGTTTATAAATATTTTTTGAGCCAAAAAAGCACATTTTGGTTAGAATTTTTCAACTTGCATGATTATGAAAAGGAGATAAATGCATGTTTTGTTAGCTTTTGTGTTTTCCTTTCATTTTTCAACCTGGTTGTATGATCTGTTTAATGTAAATAATTTTTTTTTCATTGATGAAACAATGATAGAAAATTGAAGAAAAATATTGTAAGATAAAACTGATGTTGTTTACATGCTTGTTTGACTTTTTTTGTTGTCATGTATTTCAACAATAAAATGCTTTCTTTGTTGTGTTAAATGTATAAATGATTCATACAGACATGAAACTGTTGACCTTTAACATGCTTATAACTCAATCTTCTTCCATTTTATGAAAAACAGAGCCTGGAGGGCTTTAAAAATGTGGATCAAGCTAGTAAATGACAGCAATATCCAGGATTTCATAAGAAATAAACAGAAAAATTGTAATGTAGGTGTATACATTTTAACCAGAAAACTGGCCCAGTCAGGGAGGGCTTTGCTAAAGGCTATGATATACATTCAAGAATACATACATACAAACAGACAAAGTAATAAGACCCATAAATTCATATTTAAAGCCTTTCTCTGATACTGTAAAGTTCTTCTGGGTAAAATTTGAAAATGTTACGTTGAAAACTGAGTTACTGAGTCATATGTGTCAAAGATACAAATTCAAACATACATACTGACAGATGGACTAAGTGATAAAACTTATGCAAGTGTATATAATGTGCATGTGTTTATATCATGAATAGTTTCTTAAAATTGAACTAACACAAAGAATCGTAAGGTCAAGGCCATAGAGAAGCTCAAGGTTAAAAAATTTTGATGCAGTTGAATAGCTTTCATCAATATTTATCAGCATGAAATATCTTGCATTGTTTCTTGAAAATTGAGCTAAACACAAAGGACTATATTCGGTAATGACCAATATTTGCCCCCAAAATCAAACTTTGACGGAGAAATATATAATTATGTTCTAAAACAGGGGAATATCTGCAGACTTCAAAGCACTGAATATTTTCATAAGCCATGACGCCACATGTTAGATATGACGTCAGAAAGATGACGTAAATTCAAAATTTCCATGATTTATACAGAAAAAGTGTATATTACGTCGATATTTTGAGTAAAAGTCACCGAGCGCAGGTCTGCTCCAACTCAATATTTTGATATAATGTGTAGAATGATAATATCAATGAAATATGTAAATATTGTTCTTGAGCAGGCCTGCGCTCTATAAATTTTATAGTTAAAATTGAACAAATTTTGTCCATTTTTACCTTTTTCTGAAAAATAACGCAAATTGCGAATAGTTTGTGACGTCATAGAAACAAAAGTTGCCAATAATCTACTTCGAAACTATAATATTTTTTGTTAGTTTAGATTTCTCACACAATGTATACAATTCAGCACATTTCAAGAAATTTTCAAAATATGACTTTTGTGGGGGCAACAATGTGCATATACCGCATATAGTTCTTTAAGAAAGCGAGGTCAAGTTTACAGAAAACGTGAAAAAAAATGTTGATACTTAGTGCATTATGAAAATTTGTTTGGACACACCATTGCAGGTATGAGACTACATCTTTCAAAAAATACTAATTCAATGCTTATATTTACATTTTTGAACTTGCCTTGACTACAAATGTGATCTGTATTATCCATTGTGTATGTTACAATTAATAGAGGAGCCATTGCAACAGCTTCAATGTGAGTGTAAACTTTGATTTTCATTTATGACATTGCACTTGCACAGCGTTCAACATTTGTGGAATCGAAATAAAATGCATACGCATACTTTTCGTCTTTAACTTTTGATCTCCCCATCTGTGTTTTGATGTTTTGAATGCCATATCTTTCCACACACTTTATAAGCAAAATTAGTGTAGAATGTAAATACAGCTGAATAATTCTCACCATTATGTATCAGCATACAAGGTGTGACAAAATATCTTCAATAGTGTTTTGATACTAAGTTTAACACAAAATCACGGACAGACAGACAGACAGAAAGGCATACATGACAAACACTATATGCCCCAGCCATATTCATGGCAGGGTATCAGAATGCTTTAGAAGTAGCTTAGGAGTACCAGTATATGAAGTTTGATGTCTGTTAAGCAAAGGGTGTAACAAATTTTGAGCTGAAAACATCTGGTCTACTGACCAACCAACAAACAGATGAAAACCATTGTGTCCCCTTTAATCACAGGGGAGAAAGAAAGTATGTTTTAAAATTACCTTCAAAGCTTTTTTGACTAACTTTGCCAGTAAAGATGTTTTTCCTTGCCCTACTGCTCCAGACAAGCAAACCATCAAATTATCGCCATCCTCAGATTTCCAGAATTCAGGGTCCCCTGTGCATTTACAAATATAAATATCAAATAACTTTGAACCAAAGTTTTTTGAAAAATTTTGATCCCATTATACAGCCCCACCCTAACTACTTTGACCATGATTTAAACCAATTTAAATCTGCACTACCTGAGGATGCTTGCATATTAATATGATCATAATCGTACCCTGGTGTTCTTGAGAAGAAGATTTTTAAAGATTTATACCTATAAATTCCAGTGCAAAACTTTCATCCTCCTATTAAAGCCCCATCATACCCCAGGTCAGGGACATGATTTGAGACATTATTTGAACAAAATTAAATCTGCACCACATGATGCACTTTGCCTGCATATTATCATCTCTTAGTAGACATGGCCAAGCTGTTCTTAAGTGGAAGATATTTATGCCCATTTCCATTACCTGTGGATGCTTCCATACTCAGATTAATAATCCTGGCCCTTTTGGTCTTGAGAAGAATTTTTTAATGACCCCCCCCCCCCCCCCCCATATATTTCTATGCAAAACACTGATTCCCTGTTGTGACCCCATATCTTAATCTAAGCTAGGATCATGGTTTGAACACACTTGAATCAACCATATCACGAAGCTTTTATATGAGTTTTGCCTTGTCTAGCCCAGTGGTTCTTGTGAAGAAGATTTTTACATGATATCATCATATTTTGTCTATTTCTTAATCATCCCCTTTGAAAGAGGGCAGGTCTTTTCTTTTGGAGAAACTTAAACCCCCCTTTACCCAAGATTGTTTTTGTGGCAAGTTAGGTTGAAATTGGTCTAGTAGTTCTGAAGTGAAAAGTTTACAGACCAACACACAGCAGACAGACAGCTGCGTGAAACTCTTTAATCAGAAATGCTCACTTGAGCCTTTAAATTTGGCTGAGAAGAACTTAAAATAAAAGTGACATCATGGAAACCTCTTTCATTAATGTAAAAGAAAAAAAAAAGAATTAAGTGGTAAGAATATTTAAATTCTGTATATTAAAATGATTTTATTTTGAGAGGGGGGGGGGGGGGATTTCATTCTGCAAAACATCATTATATTAATGTACAGTGCACACTTTTTGTGATTTTTGCCACAGGAAAATTTAAGCAAATATTAAAGATATGAATTCTAAAATTAATATTTTGATTCACAATGTTTTGGTGGATAGTTCTTCAAACAACCACAAAAATATTTTTCTTTCTTTACTGCTCAATTTTTATCTCATTCTTTTGTACATACATGTATAACAATCCATACTTACGAACAAATGCTGTTTGTTCCCCTACAATTTAAAATATACTTAAAAATGAATCCTTTCTGTGCCAAATAATAACAATGTCAAGATATAATTATAGATCCAATTTTTCTTGAGAGGAAAAAAAATTAAAAAGAGGACAAAATATAAGAAGAAAGCCTAAACCAAGCCTAAGTCTTATTAAGCTGTTGTTTTTAATTACCTTCTATTTTGTAATCAATGGGATCCTTGCCTTTAGCATATGCCAACAATTTATCTATCAATTCATCCTGTCCAATAACAAAATGGGCTTTCCTCTCCATAAATTGTATTTGTTCTTGGTGTTCTAAAGCTTTTATCAACAGAAGATTAAAGAAAATGAATTTCTTTCACAAATATATACATGTATTCATCATAAAATATTTCAACAGTTTTTTAAACAATAAAATCAAATATTTGCCTCTAAATATATAATCATTAAAAAAATGTTTTTTAAAGTGATTAAATCACAATGATTGATCATGCATTTGAATACAAATTAATGAGGCAAAAATACTGTTTGATAATTCGTTATTCAATTTGTCTGTTTTGCCAAAAAGGAAATGCATGGTCTTTCCAAATTTACCTTTGTCATTTCCTGCTTTTGTTGTGTTTGAGTCTGGATAAAATTGTGAAATTCTTGATTTGAAAAATGTCAATGTTTTCTCTGCAAATGTGTCTAGACCCTCCAGTATCACCTGAAGTTATAAATTTGACAAAAACATGTTTTAGGTTACCATGCAGTAAATGTTCTGCAAAAATTTTTGATTTTAAAAATCAAAAATATCAATTACATGTATTCTAGTATGTTGATAAAATTATTTTGAATATTCTAAAGTGATCATTTTTGTCATTTCAATTCTACACATACAGTCAAACCTTTTCATCTCAAATTCAATTGGATGGGGAAAATACTTTGAGATATCAAAGGATTCAAGATAATTAGGAGTTTATATAAGACAAAGAGAAAAACTGGTAGAGACTTCCAACACACTTTAGCAATACTTGATATTGATGTTGATTTAACTGCATACATGTCTCACCATGATAGTTTCAAATCTCATCATGCTCATCAAAATAACATACAGTAGTTCAATCCCAGGTTGAAATAATAAACTATATACTGTATAGCATAATTAGTCAATATCAAAACAGTTAAGAAAACTTACTCTCTTTCTTCCTGCTTTCTCTGACATTCCACTATATTTACAGTCATAATTAAAAACCTGATTTGGAAATTTTATTTTGAGCTGTTTTTTCAACTCCTGAAAAATAAAAGAATGAAAAATGTAGACAGGTAGAAAAAAAATAGCAGCTGCATGTAGGATTAACTAGAGTTGTCTTCAAGGGACGGACACCCTTTTAACGGGGGGAGGGGGGGGGGGGATAATCAAAGCATTCATCAAGTATCCACGGATGCTTCACATTATTTACAAGTTAATAGTGATGGGCTGAAAAGTGATCAAAACGCTAGGAAAAGTCACTCTCCTTACCATGTTACAATGGGTCCATGTTTCCCAGAGGGGGGGTGGGGGTGGGGGGGGGGGGGTGTTGTTGTTGTTGTTGTTAAAGTCCTGTTGTTTTGCTTTAAAGGTAGTGTTTAGTAGTGTTTAATTATTTTGTCACTTTAATTTGTTTCAAACTAAAAACAAATTTGGAAATATTGATAACTGTCACAATTTTTACTAACCAAGACTTAACAAATGAGAACGGACCCATTTTCACGGTTACTTTTCTTTCAGGTATTTATATACCTATCATAAATTCAAAATTAGAGAGTACATTAAATTGATAAACATACCTTCAATTGACAATTGGGGGGGGGGGGGGGGGGGGGGGTGGTGTTGTTGTTGTTGTTAAAGTCCTGTTTTTTTTTTTGCTTTAAAGGTAGTGTTTAATTATTTTGTCACTTAATTTGTTTCAAACTAAAAACAAATTTGGAAATATTGATAACTGTCACAATTTTTACTAACCAAGACTTAACAAATGAGAACGAACCCATTTTCACGGTTACTTTTCTTTCAGGTATTTATATACTTATCATAAATTCAAAATTAGAGAATACATTAAATTGATAAACATACCTTCAATTGACATTTATTCAAGATTTCTTTGTCAACAAATCTTTTTTGAAAATCTTCTGGAATATCATTTATGACCTCAGAATTACGGAAGAAAAATACTGCATTAGGATTACATGACCTAGCAATAAAAACAATCAATTTAAATTAACAAACAGTCAGGTATTGATAAGTGTGATCACAAGTTCATACAGTATTGTACAAAAAAATCTTTCTGCAGCTCAGCTATCATTTTAAAAGTGATTTTTACAATACATCTAACACACTCAGTTTTGCTTTATACAAATGATGTGCATGATTAACATACACTCAATATCAAGTCACATCATGTATCAGTTTATTAAAGTATGTTTTTGCAAAATCAGAGAATCTGAAAATAGTAAATGATATATTGCAAAAATCACTTTTTTGTAGGGTCAAATTTTCATGGATTGAAGAAAAACTATATGTAGCTGGTTCCTGAGAATTTGACTTCATGGTTGAAGAAGTATAGCATTATCTTGATTACAACTTTAATACTTCATTGAGGAAAGATTTTCTTAAACTGGGTCTCTTAATTTATACCATGAAAACAACACAAATGACACCTCCCCCCAAAATAAGAGATTTCACAGTATACAGAAGTTCTGCTGATCCAAGTTGAAGACTAAAAAGTCAGAGCTATAACATAGCCAAATCTACCACTTAACAAAAAACGAACTTTATTTTGGGGGATTGTAAATATGACAATCAACACTGATTCACCAAGTGACCTAAATTAAAATTATTATTATTCACAAGATATTTATAAAGCACAATTTCCATACCTATATGCCCCATGGAGAATCTCCATGAAAGTGATTGAAGTGTTGGGTACCCACATATACAGTTCTTTTAAATCATTTCCAAGATCTTTCCCCTCTGGAATCCAGCCATACCTACAAGTGAATTACATTTGCTAGGTCATGGAGATTGGGATTTGATTAATGGATGTCCTCTGAAGCTGAAATCCACATGATACTTAGAATAATAACCTTTCACCCAACAAATTGATAAAGAAAGGGCATCCGTTAGTCTCAGCATGACACCGGTCTAGTTCCTCTAAGCAACACTGAATTGTTTCCTCTGAGTCAGTATCCTTTGGTACCCCCCATCTTAGATCACACTCAACAAGATGAATCATCCTCTCCTCACACCATTCCCTCAACTCGGGAAACACCTGATGAAGGAAAAAAAATATAGGATACAATCTACTAAATAATATTTTTCTTACTTATTCATTCTGACTGCACTTATACATGTTATATACAGAAAATTAGTTTAATATTCCTACTTTAAGTGTTCAAATCTCACAATAATTCAGAGCTAAACCAAAGAATTCTTCACAGATCAATAAACTATATGAGTGCCATATTTGTAATTATGGTAAATTTCATTTTATTTGTGGAAAAATTTATTTTATGCAATGTCCTGAAGTTTTCTCTGCTTGAAAATGATGCTCTTCTCAAATAACAGGAAGGGTCTCAGACTGATATTATTTCCATTTTTTAATTCTTTTATTTCAATCAATATAGATCTACTTGTACCTTTTTAACTAAAACCTCTCTTTCACAGAAGAAATCAGTAAATGTTGATGACACAAAAACTCTCACAATCCTCCATGGACCCTCCACAGATTCCTCTGAAGAGTTCTTTGTACCAACATTTTCGTTGTTTTTGCATTGTTCCTCTATAAGCTCCCAGCAGGCAGCAACTATTTCCTTGGCTTTAGCTTTTTCCTTAAAAAACGTTGCATAAATCGGCTGATTAACGGCATGCCAATTCATTAACTAATAAAAAGTACTTATACTTCCAAGAACAACATCGACAAAAATTAAGGGCACTTCAAATCAATAAATTCCAACTTTGATTTTTACACTCACCCGTTTTTCTTGATTCTCTGCCGTCCGATATCGTCTGTACATGATGTCAGTCTTTCTTGTCAATTGTATTAACGATCATTTTGGGGATGTTTGTTGTATACTTGAGTTTGTTTACTTATTTTCCAAGACGTTCAAAGTCAAATAATTTTTTTCCAACCAACGCATGACCCCACTCTTTCGAAGCGTAAATGAGATCACACTACTTTGGAAACTAAATATAAAAGCCTTATGATAGATCCTCATTGTTCCGGAATGGTGGACTTAGTCTACATTTTTGAATGAAACATTGTTTGCTATACTACTACCAGATGTGTTTGTTGAGGTATGTTATGCTCAAAACTGTTAAAGTTTGTTCAAACTGTAAATCTTTTAGGCATTATAGAAATAACATTAAATTCTTTTGAGTGGGTGGGATATTACCGTCTTTTTATCAGGTCTTCACAACGAAAATGAAGTTGTTTTCCTAAAGGAGATGGGTGAACATGACGAGCGATAAGCCTATAGTGTGACAAACATGAAGATGAAAAATTAAATTTCTATTATATCAAAATTTTCCTTGATATTTCGTCTAACATTAAAATATACTTTATGTAAAATCTCTACAATTTGCAAAAATCCCTCAAAGATTGAAATTATTTGCCTGTGAAATATTAGACACACACTAAAGCGGGCAAAAAGAGTCATTTTCGCATACTATAACACTATTTTTCGATATGAGTGGGTCTTCGCTCCACCTTTTTAAAAGTTAATCCTCAAAGTTTGCATAAAAATATACATTTTTAGGTTACCAAAAATATGGAGCAATGACCCACTATACCTTAAAAATATACTTTTATGACATAACATTCGCATCTTTTCGAGAAATACTTGAAGTCCATTAAGTCAAGGGTCATATCACAAACATGATTTACAGTAAATGCCACTGTTCGTCAGGACTTGTGTAGTCTAGTGGTAAGCGTGCTAGTCTCGAAAGAAAATGATTCTAAGGATTTTTATTGCTAGGGTTCGAACCCCACGAATACCACATTAATTTTTTTCATAAAAGAATAAATTTTGCCAAGAAAATTTTCCTCAGAAAAGTTTTGTTTATCACAATTACATAAATTTCAATAATGAGAACTTTACTCTAAATATTAAATTCACAAACTCAACATGATTTTTACATTTCTGAAGCTATAGGCTTTCTGCACGCTATGTTCGCCCATCTCCTTTATTCAAAACATAATAATTAAATAAAAAAAGTAAAATTTAATGAAGCTTTTTAAAACATAAAGCCAGTCTTAGCAATGAGTTAAAAATTACCTGATAGGTCACTTAAAAAATGTTTTATTTGATGTACTCTGACTCATACCCATCAAAATTGCTCCGTACCCGATCATTGTTTTAGAACTTTTATTTTTTTTTTTTCATTTATGGGAAAATATAGATCGTCTAAATTGCTTTTTATGCCGGAATTCCATATACGACAGCCAACTGCTCACTGCTTACTGTCAACTGCCACACATATTTGAATAAATTTTCATATCTATGTAGATATTTATGTGAATTTTCATGAAACATAACTTGTTTGGGAAAACAAAGAGATATAAGTCTTTAATTTGGTAGATCATGTTTTTCACTATAGAAATCAAAAAAAGGGAAATTTATTTTCACCCCCCCCCCTCGCGAAACAACAATTCCTTTTTACAGGTATTATGAATTGTTATTTCACAAATTCATGCCAAAGGTTTTGTTGTTTCACGCGGTGGGGGGGGGGGGGGCATGTGTTTAAAACAGGAAAATAGTCGTTTTATTACCAATTTCAAATGAGATTTCCATGAGTATTATAAAATCTGGTGTTGTTTCAATTAATGAAATTTGAAAGGAGTTGTAAATAAACAAGAGCAATTAACTTTTTGACACTGGTTTTTAAAATTATCAATCCATTACCAATGAACTTTTCTTTGCATTCAAACAAGTTTAATGGCCAAATTGCCATTTATATTGAATTAAATGGATGTAAAATTAGGCTGGAATCGAGAGTTAGCGTGCGTAGTTCTTACAATAATAACAAACAACTGGCGAATTAAGGAATTTTTAAACTGTTATGGCAAGGAAGGAGTAAATCGGAAGAAGGAGTATTTCCTCTTAAAAACAAACATTTAATTCCCACATTTCCTTGCATTGCAGGCAAATAATTCAATGGGGGGATCACATACGACAAAAGACCCCCCCCCCATGTATATTTTTATGAAACTTAGAGGATAAACTTTCAAAAAATGCAGCGATGACCCACTTATATCGTGAAGATAGTTAAAATCAACAGTAGTGCCCCCTCAATAAGGACGCCTGTGACCTTTTTTATTCCTTGTCAAGTGATTATGTTGGGTTGTCCCCCCCCCCCCCCCCCCCGCACTGAAATTGCTTCCTTGCCTAACATAGAGTAAAATGCTTTGTATTATGATTTTTTTTATTAGGACTTCTGATATAAATGCAAATACCAACAAATGTTACCCAAGATCCTACTAAAAGTTTGCCCCCACCCCATTTTTTTCTGAGGTATATAAGCCTTTAATCTCTCCCCCGTCAAAAAGGCTAATGAATTATTTGCCTGCAAGGACGCGTGGGAATGAAATATTTTGTATTTAAGAGGAAATGCTCTTTTCTTCTATTTATTCCTTCCTCGCCTTTACCGTTTAGAAATTTTGAATCCGCCAATTTTTGTTATTATTGTAATCTATCATAGGGTTTATTCAATTAAGCATGCGTATTAAAGATAACAAAACTGGGCAATATCATCTATGAGCAGTTGACAGTAAGCAGTGGGCAGTTGGAAGTAAGCAGTGAGCAGTTGGCAGTAAGCAATTGGCTGTCGTATATGGAATTTCACAGCTTTTTAACTTTAGGTTCCATTTTTCTTTTGCAAATGGCATAAAAATAAATGGCTTTAAAATTATTATGCTTGTACACTGACTGTGTGTGACATCAGACACTGCACAGCTGAGATGTATGTTAGAGTTCTCTCCCTTTGACCAGTAGAATCTATACTGCTGTCTGGGTCTGCCAATATGCCCTGTACTGGTTGTTCTAAAACAGCCTACGATAAAAGTAAGAAACAAAGAGCAAAGTTTCTTTTTTCGGTTTTTGGTTTTTTTGTTTTTGGTTTTGCTGCATTTTACAAACATATAAACTAATGTAACATGTATGTTGGTGAAGTTTACGATAGGTATTTATTAAGAGTCATAGAGGAATAAATGTGCAAATCTATGATTTTCATAACATCTATCATTGTGTTAGATAATTCCAAAAATTGAAAATAAATAAATAAATAAATAAATAAATAAATAACCTAATGAAAACGAAACCTAACGAAAAATATGGGTTGGGGTACATCGAACCGAAAAAATTAATGGTGGCCTTATAATAGTTTTCATGTTGATATTTACAAGCTTAAGAATATACACTTTGAGCAAAAAACAAAAAAAAAAAAAAAAAAATTGTACAAAATTAAATGCACAAGTTAAAAAGTAGAATTGTCTACAGATTTTTCTCTTTGTTCAATCATGACAAGGTGCACAAGGTGGGTGTGACCAGTTGACAGGATGCTCACTCTTCCATGGCACCTGATCCCACCTATGTTATCAGAGGTCTGTGTTTGCTCTTCTCACAATCTGTATTTTTTGCTCAGACTTTTCAGTATGATTAATGTTCATTATCTTCACATTTCATTTTTATGTCATTTGTATAGGTTTACATTACAAATGGAAGGGAGAAAATGTATGACTGGACAAGGGATTGAACCCAGATTACTAGCCAGGTACTTTAATTGAGCTATAATCCAGCCCGATGTCCACTGCCAATATAAACCAAATCACATTTCTCACCCCTAAATTGCCTAAGCCCCCAAAGACACACTATCTACATATGTACATTCTTTTAGCCCTTGATAGGGAAGTCCAGGGGTGGTTAATGACAACAAAATGAAATGCAACAGGAAAGAGAAAATTTAGGCTGGGTCTGGAAACAAACCCAAGGCCCCTGCATTACTAGTCAGGTACTCGATCTAATCATTGAGCTATCCAGACCAACATCATGGGCCATATAGCCAAAAAACTAAAATAAATATGTGTGGTTTTACGAATATATGAGTGTCGTTAAATCACTGACAGATAACAAAATTATTGTACATTTTTCGGCCCAAGGATGTTATGAATTCACTAACAGCTAATTTACTTGTACCAAAATACCATTAATATTTGTGTTTATATTAGTGAATACAATGCACCATTTTGATGAAATAATAGTATTACATCAATGACAAGGTATGACAAAAAAGAAAATCTTTCTTTCTAGTTTATTGTTCTGAATTTCATAACTGAATGCTTACATGTATCTATAATCAGTTTAAAAGATTTCTAACCATTTTAATATCACTGCCATTTGCATACTTCATTAAAATTCTCTTTGCCATTATAACATCACCCTTACTTGGATCAAATGATTCCCATACTCTCTCACATTCATGCTGATTAAATTTTGAGGACTTCTGTGAAAATTCAAACCACAAATCTCTGTAATCATTTTCACATCCATTACCATAGTAACACAAAAGTCTAAGTGCAAAACCTATAGAGGACCAAGATCTGTAAGCATGAGAAATTTCATCATCATACAGTTCTACTAGATCCTTAACATCCACAAAATGGGGAGTCACAATTCTACCAGTATATTTTTGGGGATTTTTTGAATAACTCTTCTTGTCCACTTGATTTTGACTTAAAGAAAACTTGGATTTCAGGGAATTATACACACTTAAATCCTCTTCTCCAGATTCTTCAATTGACTGAATTTCTCTTTTGAGATCTTCCCCTGCTGCATCTGATATCTGTGAACATTTTTTATACCTAATAGAGAATCTGTCCACCCAATAAAAGACTTCACTCTCTGAATTCAAGTTTAGGGTAAGTGGTTGTAACCGTTCACCATACTTGAAAACATAATTTACAGTGTAAGGATAAAGATCACAATGTTTCTGAGAACCAAGCATGAACCAGGGATTTTTACCTATTTGGTCAATAACAATTTTTAACTCCTCCCCTGAAGTCTCCTTTTTTACAGTTTCAGCAATGGGAATATGAAAAAGTTTATTATGTAAATTAGTTGGAAAAACAATGTCGGGAAAAATTACATGAATTCCTTCCTTGGTTCCACTTTCCACAGCCAAATTCTTCTTTCTCTGCATGATATAAGCAACAAGTATTCTTTCAGTTTTCACAGAGAATGGGTCAGCCAAATACTCCAAGCTCTCCTCAACATAAAGATTCAATAAATGTTCAATATACTCTTCCGTGAGTCCAGATGAAGATGACTCTATTTTCTCAACGTCCACATCAACTCGCAGGGGGGAGTATACTGTGGGTAATTCTAATAATGTCATATACTGACCATCAATAATCCCTCTAGAGTATTCTCGCAAAAAAGTCTCATTATCTGCTTTTGGCACATGGAATTTACGGGGTGGATTCATGGATACATGTGTCACAGGTGTGTCCTCTGACTTTCTTTCTATCCCATACCTTTCAGATATAGCTTTCCTACGAGCAAAAGTTTTCATGATTATATTTTCATCTGTTTTCCATCTATCACTCAGAGAAATTTTTCCATTTGTATAACATCTTGTGAATGTTTCTTTCCATACTTTGTTCACTGTATGTGGATATTTCCATAGCATCTTTTAAGTAAATCTGATGACCTGAAACACACACACATTATTTGAAATTAATACATTGTATACAGCATTATTAAAGGAAAAAAATTCTCTGCAGTACATAACACACTAAAAAGAGAAAACTTACTAATTATGCTGGAAAAACTGAAGACCCATCCATCTGATGATAAGACAGGCCACAAACACAATCAAGGTACTTGGTAGTAATAAAAGATAGTACACCAAGCCCTGCTCCTCGAATACTGAGTCATCCATTGCTAAAATATAGAAACGTTAATTGATTTAAAATGCTTTTGATAAAAGCTGCAAGATAGAGTGATAAAACTTGTCTAAGAATACTGTACAAGGTACATGTATCTGTTCTAGATCTAAAATGTTCAAAAGGGAGACATGCAAGACATTTGTTATTACATGTACCAAAATTGAATATTTTAAAAAGGTTCCAGGTTATGATTAAATTTTGCATAGGCTACAACTTGATTTCTTCCTAAGTCTTAAAACTCATAACCAGAATTCCGGTGTTGACTAGACTCTCACCTGTTGGTTACAAGTTAATATTTGGAGTTCAAGCTGATGTGGTTACAAGTCAGTTAGGTTACAAGTTGACTTGATACCCCTGATATTGATTAAATAATGTAGTTTTTCAAATAATTTTAAATAAGACTGTCTGTTGGGTGGATTTAAAAAAAAATATCTGGAAATTCAATCCATAAAAATTACGAAAAAGTAAAATTGTATCGTAAGTGTATCATTATTGTTTTTTTTTTCCATAAAGATTAAAAAAGTATTTCCCTGGCTCTATATGATAATATATACAATGAATATACAATAAGTATTAGGCAAAACTGCCTTTACTTAGACAAACACAGTTGTCAGAGTGAGTTGACACTGGTTCATTTTCTCGGATAGCATAGATATCAATCCAATTACAGCCCCGACCGAGTAAAAAGGAGTACAAAAAGAAAAAGAGCTATATGACTGCATTGTACCTATATAAAGTGCATGTTGAAATTCTCAAGGAAAGGTTAGAGACCCTGTCAGATACATTACATGTCACTCCTAGCACGTTGATGACTTAACCAAACCTCATGACCGGATCCTACCGTCGCTTGCTAAAAGGATAAATTTTTCAAGGTTTACCGTTATTTCCGGATCGAGAGTTATCTCTCTTTGTATAACGTTGAATCCCAGCCGTTGAACCATGAATTTACATCCATTTCGGGAATATAACATTACAATTTACTGTCATTTGAATTTTTTTCACTAGAATAATATTCTGCAATTAGGCATAACATGCCTAATGTGAATATAAATTTTATTTTTGGGACAGTACAAATATATTTTTATTGTTGTTGCAGATATTTGTTGGAATTTGTTCTATCTTGAAATAATAAAAAAAAAGTTATGTTTGCAAACATGTCAAAGTTTAACACTGTGATATGTATCAGTATGAAAAATGTATCCGATTCCATCTCCAAAAGATTTTTTTTAATTGTAAGATCGTAAGATCATCAGTATAATTTTGACACAAAATAAAAAGTATACATAGTACAAGGTGCGGTATACAAATCTGGACATGTTATATTATAAAATATGAATTAATAAAATATGAATTAAATTAAATTTAAACTCATTCTTTTTGAATTGTTAGATTTCCATGCAGTAAGATCATACAAATGGTTTTTCTCATATGAAAGATCTAAATGTTCGTGACGTCATGGACTTGTGCACGTTCCTGTGCATGTGTTTTCTTTTTTTAAAAAGTTGCAAAAGACATCAAATTTCAGTGGAATTTTCTTTCAGATAATACAGACCACATGCATAGCCAACAAAGATTTTAAGAAAAGTGAATTGTCAAAGAATTTTATACAACATATACGTGTACCTAAAAAATTGAAGTGGGAGACGGCTGAGGATACTATTTTCTTGAGGAAAATAATCCCTGAACTGAGTCATTTTGAGTTGTCATATTGATTTTTTTTAAATATATACATGTACTAGTACTGCTACCCGGTACAACTTGACACCGCCATTGAACATACAGATGCGATTATCCAGCATTACTGTTATTACCTTCAGAAGTTTTCATCATACTGCAAAATAATGGGGGGGTTGTTAGCATGTTAGCAACTGACCTCTCGCCTGTCAATGAAAGGTTCCAAACTAAATTAACAGCAAAACGGAACTCTTTGAAAAGACCCCCTCCCTTACGATACTATGTGTCTGCATGTCCAAATTCCTAGAGCATAACCCTTGTTAAATAAATTGGGCAAACAAGGAAAGCAAATTGCCTATAAATATGAAGGCGAAAAAAATTAAATCTAAATTATAACTAAATTCTCTTTGATATTTCATCTAATATTAACTTATAGTATGTAAAATCTTCACACTTCGCAAAAGTCTCGCAAAGATTGAAATTATTCGTCTATGAAATAGCATCCACACACCAAAGAGTGCAAAAATGATCATTCTTCATACAATAACACAATTTTTCCAGATGAGTGGCCTGGGTCTTCGCTCCATTTCTTAAAAAAGTTTATCCTCAAAGTATGCGTAAAAATATGCATTGTTTGGTTTACAAAAACATGGAGCAAATGCCCAATATATATTTAAATACACTTATAACAAAACATTCTTTCCGAGAAATATTTGAAGTCCATTTAGTCAAGGGTCATATCACAAACACTATTTGAATCCAACTACTTGTCACATGATTTTTTTATTGCTTGGATTCGAACCCCAGGAATACCACATTATTTTTTTTTAATTATAGAATATCATTATTTTGCCGAGAAAATTTTCCACAGAAAAGTTATGTTTTTCATAAATTTCAAGAATAAGAACTTTACTCTAAATCCTAAATTCACAAATTGAATATGATTTTTATACATCTGAAGCTATAGGCTTTTTGCACGCCTTGTTAGCCCATCTTGTTTTGAAATAATTTCAGTGTTCCACTCTTCAAACCCTTTCCAGGACTCACTTAAATGGATTTTTACTTTATTCGACTTTACAGTCAGGGTATTTCCCTAGAGAAGAATCTGCTATAAAATAGATTATGTATATATAGTCAAACTTCTGCCACGATTATAACAATATCCAACGATATACCAAGTTTTTACTTACTAAATTTAGATAGACCAGATGGACCAAAGACACAAGGAAATGTACGTGTACTTGTGAGGACCAGCTCATTGTGGAGGGAACCGCTACGCAGGTATAACACTGCATAAAACATAAAAAAGAAAATGTTTGAATATCTATACGTTGTCTTTGGAGACCAGGGACCAATACCACAAACTAACAACAAACCTATCAGAATGTCAGATCTTGTTTTAAAAAAAAAATGAAATAAATTTGAAAATAAAACGAAATTTTCACAATGTGTTCGTATTTGAATATTTTATAAACTTGAAACTTTAAAAACATATTTTTGTATAAAAATCGCGTTATTTTTAAAAAAAATCTAACTTTTGAATTACGTCTGTTCTATGATTGTGGTCTTGAGGCCATGCAGTTTTCCACCGATCCGTCGAAACTAGGATAGGCACTAATCTTTCTCCTTTATTAGCCTTTATATTCTTACAAAGCAGGATAACTTACCTACATGAGAAAAGAACTCTTGCTATGACCTTCATTTCGACATTTACATACTGGGAATATCGACAACGTTTAATCAATTAACAAAATATTTTTCATTCAATTGTCGACTCGATATATCCCAAAGAACTCGAAATAAAAGACACTACAGAGTCTGCCTCATCTATATTTGGATGTTTTACTGACTATAGACTTTAACGACCAATAAACAGTTATAGACTACATGTATATGAACAAGAGACCCATGGGCCACATCGCTCACCTGAGTAACTTTGGATGTGCTGTTATTTACCAGATTCCCACCAATGTAATACCTATTGTGGCCCCGCCCTACCCTGGGGGTCATGATTTGAACAATTTAGAATCTACACTACTTGAGGATGCTTCCACATAAGTTTCAGCTTTTCTGGCCCAGTGGTTCTTGAGAAGAAGATTTTTAAAGATTTTTCCTATATTTCAATGTAAAACTTGGATTCCCTATTGTGGCTCCGCCCTACCCCCGGGGGTCATGATTTGAATAATTTAAAATCTACACTACCCCAGGATGCTTCCACATAAGTTTCAGTTTTTCTGGCCCAGTTGTTCTTGAGAAGAAGATCTTTTAAAAAGATTTTTCTTACATATTTCAATGTAAAGCTTGGATATCCTATTGTGGCCCCGCCCTACCCCCGGGGGCCATGATTTGAATAATTTAAAATCTACACTACCCCAGGATGCTTCCAAATAAGTTTCAGCTTTTCTGGCCCAGTAGTTCTTGAGAAAAAAATTTTCAAAAATTTTTCCTACATATTTCATTGTAAACCTTGGATTCCCTATTGTGCTCCCGCCCTACCCCCGGGGGTCATGATTTGAACAATTTAGAATTTACATTATCCCAGGATGCTTCCACATAAGTTTCAGCTTTTTTGGCCCAGTGCTTCTTGAGAAGAAATTTTTTTAATGACCCCACCCTATTTATGTCTTTTCTTGATTATCTCCTCTTTTAAGGGGACTTGGCCCTTTATTTTAACAATTTAAACTCCCCTTTAACCAAGGATACTTTGTACCAAGTTTTGCTAAAATTGGCCCGGTGGTTCTTGAGAAGAAGTTGAAAATGTGAAAAGTTTACAGACGGATGGACGAAAGGACGACGGACAACGGGTGATCAGAAAAGCTCACTTGAGCTTTCAGCTCAGGTGAGCTAAAAACGGATTGACTTCAGCTTTTCTTTGGTCAACTTTCCCTATGTAGTAATATACCATTGTTATCTGCTTTTGGTGTTTATGTCTCCAAACCGATTTAGTGCGTGAAAACCTATGGAAATTATCAATTTTTAATCCAAGGGATGATTTACTGGCAAATATGTTAATGTTACAGGGCTTTCAATAATCTTGATTAATGTCACCATTTTGAAAATTCTGTGACCTTTATAATGGTCTTGTTTTCAAATATAACCTATATGTGCATGGATTGTCTTTTGACTGACATGTTTCATACCAATTTCAGGCTATTACTGTTTTTCTACTAAGTTTGACGATTACTCCCTATACATGATCAAAACAAAGGGCCCAAGGAGAGGTGTGACCGGTCGACAGGGGATACTTGCTTCTCCTGGGCACCCGATCCCTCCTCAGGTGTTTCTAGGAGTCTGTGTTTTTGTCCTGTTCTCAATTTGTATTGTTTACAAGACTTATCACTATTTAATATCTAAATAAATACTACATGTAGTAAACAAACAAATATTATTAAATAGATCGATAAATATTCAAAAAACATTGCGATCAAGGATCTACAATAAATCAATCTTTTAAATGAATTAATCTTGTAATGAAACATCTGTATCGGCTGGTAAATGCATGTTGAAAATAGTTGTAAAGTTACATAACATTGTATCAAAATAAACCTTAGATGACAAGCTTTGTTATATTCATGGGCGTAGGAATGTCTGATCTGTAAAATATAGGGAATTAGTAGATGCGGTTTAAATTTCCTCAAAACCTGCAACGTTTTGTCTTTTAAATAGAAAAGCCTTTAAACGACTGTATGGATGAAATATATCATTTAAGAAATAAATAATTATATGAGTTTGTGAGAACCTGATTGGTTCCTTGATCAAATCCTTTCCAGCCCAAAGAATTTTCCGGTAATTTTGATCACGTATACCAATCGAAAAGTAAGCTAAACTGAATTGAAGTCAAAAAGAAGATACTACACGACATACTATGAACTTTAAGTTGCTGTCACTTATGTTAAGCATCCTAAAATGCACCTACTCTTGCATAATTTTATGCTTTAAAACAATATTTTTAATATTCTGGTTTTTACCCTGATCCTTGGTCAAAATGCTTCATCACTTAAAAAAAGGAAAAAGCAACGTCAATATCTATCGTGGTATATCTATTTGTAAGCTTTTTTATTTTATTTTTATTTTTTTTTATTTTACAATTTTTCTTAACAATAGGATATTAGAATGGGAACATTCTTATGAT